TCTATCGTTCGAAATGTTCGTTTTTTTTTTTTTAACGAAAAAAATGCTTTTTCAAATTTGTTGAAAAAAGAAAAAAAGAAAAACATAGAAGATAAGAAAAGCATATAAAAAAGGTTTTTTTTTTCGTGCAACTCTTTCGTGCGATTTTTGCTCGCGATTAAAAGAAATAGAAGATGATGATGATGAAGATGATGATGATGATGATGAAGAAGAAGAAGAAGAAGAAGAAGAAGAAGAAGGAAATTGTCAAAAGTAGATTTGTTCGTTCCTTCGTTTTTTCCATTGGGTTAACGTGAAATTAAATGGAAATGTAATATATGAAATGAACAATGAACGATAATTAATGATGAAATTAAAAAAACATTGGGGAAAAAAGTATGAATAATAAAATCATAAAAAAAAAAATATCAAAGTAAAGGCCAATGTAATCGTGTTCCTTGACTCAACCTATGATACACACACACATCATGCTAAATAGTGCGATAATTCTACACATAACGTATACAAAGAGAGATTTTTTCTTGTTGAAAAATGATTAGATAAGGAAAGGAAAGGAAAGGAAAGGAATGAATAAATGAATGAATGAATGAATGAATGATCAAACACACGTTCTGGACCTTTTCAACACAACAAGATTCGAATCATTATCACGTATTATATTATCGATTAATTTTTCTTTTACAAGTTTCAATGATTTATTATAAAAAAAAAAGAAATCTTGTAACAAATCTAAATGATCAACGCGTAAACCGAGTTTTAATTTTTCACGCGTTAGATGATACAAAAATTTCATTGAGAAGAGAAAGAGAGAGAGAGAGAGAGAGAGATAATATCAAATATTTATAATCAAAACCTTATCATAATAATTAGCTATTTTTTTTCTAATTAATTTTATAACAATCCCAAGCTGTAGCAATATGTTTATGAATAATATTTAAAGTAGATAAGAGTGTATAGCGTAAGGCAAATATAATGAAATAATTGAAGGATTAGTAGTAGTTGCGTAGGGATCGATCTCGTAAGGTCCAGAAGTGGAGGAGAGGTGTGGTTTGTGCGATAGAAGTGATCATGTATGCGTTATGCGTTGTTAAGATAAACAAAAGCGAGAAATAGAGAAATAATTGAGGAAAAAGCTGATAGAAGAAAGTTGAAACTTCTATCGAAGCGATCTATCATCGAATGATCGTTGACGAATGAAAAAATTAGAAATTTGATTTGTTTTGATAAAACATTTAGAATATTTTGTTTAGAACGATCATTCGAAGGATTTTTAGGATGAAAAAAAAAATTAGAGAAGGATTAAATTATACGTATGCAGATATAGATATGATTATAAATAATACTTACATATGATTAAGTGGCATTGATGAGTGCGAGTGATGTTGCGCCAAGGAATCCGGTGATGGTCCAGACGAGTAGACTCCAGCACCATGTTGGCCAACACCTTGGTCGACTCCTTGCGGCAGATACACGGAAATCATTTGTCTAAGATCTCCTGGGGATTGATGGGTTTGGTGGGTTTGTTGACCCATATATTCGCGTTTGATAGCGGCAGCTTGTGCTTGTTGCTGTTGATGTGGAGCAGCCGCTGGATTGGTGGGCATTGGCCCGTTTGTAGGTGTGGGAGTGTGTATTCCCGCACTTGCAGGACTCGTCGGTTCCGACTTTATACTGCTGCCACTGGGACTGTGGCTCGACATTTGAGATCCTGATTGGGGTTGATGATACGGCGAAGGTGAGCCGCCGGGTACGGTACTTCCTGGATAACCACCATATCCATTAATGTAATTTGGGTTCATTGGTGGACTACCATTACCCATGTGATGTCCCATATCGTATCTGGGATATCCAGCAGCCGCCACTCCGCTCATCGGGTTTCCATATACGTGTTGTTGATACGAAGCCGCCGCATCGTGCATCATATAACCATTAGGCATATATCCGTTTGCCATTTGATAAACGTCGCGTGATATTTGCCCTTGTTGTGGTCCACCGGCGCCAGCAACTTGTCTTTGATCAACACCGAGGATGCTATTAACGTTGACTCCAACTGCACCGACGGAGCCACTAATCGGATATTTATCTTTCTTCATAAGGGTCTTCGTCTTCCTTCTTGGACGATACTTGTAATCTGGGTGCTCTTTCATATGCACCGCGCGCAATCGTTTAGCTTCGTCAATAAATGGACGCTTCTCGGTTTCGCTGAGCAATTTCCATTCCGCCCCTAAACGTTTGGAAATCTCCGAATTATGCATTTTTGGATTTTCTTGGGCCATCTTGCGTCGTTGCCCACGGGACCAGACCATGAATGCGTTCATCGGCCTTTTTACGCGATCACCGTTTGCTGGTGGCTTCGTATTATTATTATTATTCGCAGTCTGATGGTGTTGGGTTTGAGCTTGTTGCTGTTGTGGCTGCGGTTGTTGATGAGGGTGGTGTTGTTGTTGTGCAGCACTTTGCTGAGCAGACAGTTGATGATGCATGGTCTGCTGTTGTTGCTGCTGTTGTTGTTGCTGTTGCTGTTGCTGCTGCTGTTGTTGTTGTTGTTGTTGTTGAACTGCAGCTTGCATGGAAACCTGGTGGTAATGTTGATGTTGCAAACTTAATCCTAAGTTGCTGCTGCTCGGTGGGCTTCCAGATAAAGCTGGACTATGTACTATGGAACTGAGAGTTCCATAAGGTGAAACGGTATGATGGCCCATCGGTGATACACCTTGATGCGGATGAGGTGGCATCTGACCATGCAGGCTACCGCCCTTAAGGTCCGTCTCCATCGTTAGCATGTCGTCCTCCCTGTGGCCGTACAGTTTGTCGCCGTTTTCTTAAACCGTATTACGTTCAAAGAATGCCTCGACGAGACACGTTGCCGATCAGATCTTAAAAGCGCGTTTTTCTTCACTACCCTTCTTCTTTTCGAAATCGAATCTCACTAAGAGTCTACGATCTTTTAATATCTATAATCAAACACAAATAGTATATATATATGCGTATATATGCATATGTAGATATACAATTCAATATAAGTGTTTGCATTCGTTCAAATCACAAATATTCACAAATAATGATGCACACTTTTAATATTTCGAAATAAACGCGCGCGCAAAATCACCAAAATCTTCTATAATGTTTTATTAACACTCGTTAGCGTTCTCGTATATAATAAGATAGTCACAATCTATTTAATGTCACTTATGTAGAACACCAAAAAGAAACAGAACTCGTTGAATTTCTAAATTGTATTGAGCACAAGAACGATGCGTTGTTGTTGACACCTCGATACAGAATGACTGACTGACTCTCTATACTGTTCACGCCGAGGATGATCACCAATATGAGAGAGACAAATGAAGAGAGAGAGAGCAAAATATATATATATATATCTTCTTACCTTCCTATACTCTTGTTTTTTTTTCCTCCCTCTACTTTCTTATTCGTATTTTTACTAATCCGTAAATATCCGTTTACGATGCGTTTTGGAAATGCACGTGAATGGATGCACTCGTAGTATCTCTTCTTCCGTAAATTCTTACACGTCTTAAGGTGTACACAAGCACCGAAAAGATTGACCACCGTTCTCTTCAACAGGACTAAACCATCTGAGCATTGCAGTTAAGCTTTGAGCTGTAACATACTGGCAGTTCCTGCCAAGGCGGCTGCTTCCACCACTACTAGGTTTGCCCCCCTACCCTTAGGCAGAACGGTTTGGTAGCTTGGGCCCCACTATGCGGCCTCTCCCACCAGTACGCGAGGATATCCCCACTTGTACAGGATCGACGCGACCATAGCCGAAGGAGCCAGTCTACCGACGGCTATCGATTGGCACGCGCGCCTGCCATCATTTCTCTCAACCAATCAGCTCCTATACCCTCCGTTCTGGTAGGCGGGTTTATACCGACCTCCCTAGCGACCTCTACCGAGCAAGCTGAACCTTCCCTCTTATGCTCTATCCCCACCTTTCCTTCTCAACCTTATTCACTCTCTCTCTTTCTCTCTCTTCCTTTCTGACTCCGTTCATCGTCATATGAACTTCCCCTATCTTCTTCTTGCCACTGTGCGCGCCACGAGATCGGCTACCCGACGGTCTTCCTACGTTTTCTTCTTATTTTTCTTATTTTAATACTTTTTATTTTTTATTTTATTGTTTATATTATTTTATTTTTCTTCTTCTTCTTCTTCTTCTTTGGCGACGATGACGATGAAAACGACCTCGCATGGCCTTTGATTAAATGCTTTTTACCACCCCCGAATATGACTCCGAATTAATTATATTTCTTAAATAAGATTTTGTTCTTGTTTGTGTGTCTTATTATTTTTGTATGTTCCTTTGTTTCTAATCGATCTGTTTAATTTTATGAAGAAATTTGAAAAAAAAAAGTTTAATAGAGATTTGTATTCATGTAATAAAAATTAGATGTTCACAGTTTGAATGAAAACACTGACCTATAAAAGCGAATGAAAGAAGAAATATATTTCATGTATAATAAAAAAAAAAAAAAACAAAAACAAATTCATATTACATATCGTTCAGACAAATTTGTTTCTATAAAAAAAAAAAAAATTGTTTCGAAGTTTTTATTGTAAAGTCGTGTTATTACTTAAAAGTACAGACGGATTTTATGATTCGTATCATTGGATTACCTTATCTGAAATATTGACGATACCGATGTGAATTTTTATGTTAACAACGAACGAAAGAATCATACTAAATATAATAATAATAATAATATAAATTATAATTATACATAATTTCAAATAATAATTGCTTATTAATAACGAACCAATAGAATTAAGAATAAAAATAGCGGAGATGTTAAAACTTAAACAAGTACATACACGCAAATGTAAATTATATTTGTTAAAACATAGAAAAATGTGCTAATAGAACATTTGGAAAACGTGTGACACACGTGTTAATCGAAATTTTCTGATTAAAAAATAAAAACAAATTTTAAGACGTGCGTATTACAATATACTCTCGAATCCACATACTTATTAACCGTTTGTTCCATAATTATTCATCATTCTTATTTTTTGTATTCTTTTACTATTCTTTCGAGAAAATTGAAAGAAGCTTCTTCTTCTTCTTCTTCTTCGATCGACTATGCGACATAGTTTTAAGTGAGTTCCTGCGCGTAGGACCTGTTGCCTCTCAACGAGAAAAGTGAACGAAAAGAGAAAAATACAGAGATAAAGATAGAGAGAGAGAGAGAGAGAGAGAATCATTTACAAATAAAATAAAAAAAACACTTTAACGAAATAAATCTGAAACTAATGACGAATCTTAATTTACAAAACAAAATTTTGATTAAAATAATCCCTATTTTAATTGAATATCTCAAAACACTTACTCATTGTATTTTTCTTACTAAATTTCTTCACGTCTATCGATTAGGTTCACATGTATTTTATATTCTGTAGAATAAAATTCTTGATTATAATATCTGTAAATGGCATCGAACGATAAACCAAACGACAATGTTAATCCTCATTATTTTTTTTTATCTGATACAAGAGGACTCATCGTTGATTTCTCGATACGATTACAGCCAGTTTTCTTCAGCGATGTTGCATCGATGCAAGATTTAGATTAATTCGTACAAAACGAATTTCACAATTTATTTTTATTTTTCAATCATTTTATATATAATCAAATATTATATTATCCATCAAATAATCTTTGAATTCCAACGTAAAAAAAAAAAAAAAAATAAATAAATAATAGTTTTATCAATGAATTACAAAACATTGCATATACATACATATATTCATAAAATCAACGATTTATTATCTCAATAATTCTTTTACATCTTAACTAATAAGATAAAAAAACAAAAGAAAAAACAAGGTGTTGTATAAAAATACATAAATGGTGGTGATGGGATATAATATCCATTGACTATTTCTTTCCAACGAAATTATTATTATTTGTATTTGACTGCGACACACGATGCGGTGACATTAAGTCGAAATGCCACAAGTGGCACATAAACCGTGCGGAATAAGTGGATTGATAGGTCGTTACTGTTGAAAAAAGATAGAGCGGATTGAGAGTGGGAATAACGGAGAAAAAGAAAGATAGAGAGAAAGAGGTAGTAAAGAGAGATAGAGAAGAAAGGAAAAGAGTGAAAGAGAGCAAAAGAGAGAGAGAGAGAGAGAGAGAGAAATTGTACAATAAGTCGGGGTCCGACAATGGAAATACCGCGGGCGGTCTTTGTGATTCAAATCAATGTTTGTGATACTCGATGGCGCACTGCTCTTGTACAAGGCGAATGTATATACAGGAGAGTTAGCAAGTTCGCGCGCGCACCTATCTATATAT